TAGCTGAATCACCAAAACTTGATGAAATGCCATAAGGCTGTTTAAAAGACAGGAGATCTTTCACGATGGAAGAGCTGATGTCATCTGCACAGCTGCCAAACAACTTGGCTATTTTTTTATTTTTAAAGACACATTCACAAAAATAGGGTAAAACAGTTTTGTTCCTTTTCTCTTCAAATGTATGTAAATCTGTATTTTTACTTATGCAATTTTTAAGTTACTTTATGCATTTTATTTGTGCTTTCTTAACCTACACATTACTGCAAAAATTATACTCTCAACATAATTTTAGCTTTCTGTTTTTAATTTTCTTATTTTACTACTGAAACCTTAAAGCTAACAGAAAACGTGGATGTTCCAGACCCAAACTTGAAACACAGTAGATTTTTCATAGTAAAATTTACATAACTGTAAACTCTAATAAACTACAAATCTACAAAGAGATCTCAAGCAATGGAGACATATATTCATCACTTCCGAAAACAATCAACAGCATGATGAAGAAACAACCAGAAAGACAAAAGCAATGGCTTTTAGCAAGGAGGGAGAGGAGCACCTCTGAGGCGCGTGTGTCCAGCTCTATCTGCAGAGCTCACCAGACTGGGTTAGCACAGCAAGGCTCAACCAGAAGATGTGGCTTCTCACTCCTTTCCCATGGGGCTCTGGTTCCAGAAGCAGCAAGACAGTAATAGGATAGCTGCCTCTCCCTCTGCCTCCCCTCTTCCAGCCACACACCCTCTTTGCTCCCGCCTTGGTTGACACTGGCATCCATCAGCCCCTCCAATGTGCAGATTCAACCCACATGACAGAGGAAAACCAGGCTAACAAGTTGGATCAGTTCACAGAGGTATCCAAGAAGTGCCAAAACAAATGCAAAATAAGCACTAGGAGTGAGTGGCTGGGAAAGGGGAGGGAAGAAAGTACAGCACACCCCCAGCAGAAACCTGTTGGATCACTTAATCATGTATCATGAAACAGAAACCTCAGGGTTTAATTTCAGAGCCAAAAGAATCAGTCTCACCTGTCCTCTGAAACTCCTAGTCCCAGTCTTTGTGCCAAAAAGAGCACTTGGCTATCCAGCATACATCCAGAGGTGGAGAAAAAAAAGGCTTATTAAGATCTGTACCAGTATCCTAACCTGGTTAATAGCTTGGCTCTGTGAGTAGTTTTGATGACCCATGAGAAAGGGGAACAGTGGTGAGGCACGGTGGGAGGGAGGATATCCTCTGTGGTAGCAGCAGCAGCAGCCAACTAGCTTAAACTCCATGAAACTACTGCCTCTGGCTGAGGTTCCCAACATGGTCAGAACTGATCTTGGCTAGTGAGGCCTGTGGCCAGACCCTCCCATCTGCTACCAACCACACACTGATCCCCTGCTCCAAAGAACACAGCTACAGGGCAGGTTGATTCAGCTCACTGATGTGGTAGAAGCCCTTCCTCCTCTTTTGCCTGGCTACCCAAAACAATCTGAAAGCTGATCTGGCAGAAGAATCATCTTGTCACCATGTGATTTCAACATCTAACACAAGTGAAGGAGGAAGGATGGAGGAAAGGGAGAGGACAGGCTGGCCATCTTGGCAACAGCTCACCACTGGACTGTCTTTGCAACCCCCAAAGAGCAAAAGCCACCCCTCTCCTCATCCTAGTTTTGGAGAGCCCACCCTAGTTTTTCATTCCACTGTCTGCTCTTACATGAGGGCAACAGTTGCAGGTCTGCACCACAAACCAGATCAGCTCATTAAGAGAAAAGCTTGTTTTTAACCCCAACCACTCCACTGAGCTGGCCCAAGTCAGAGGGAGGCTACAGGCAAAGTCTATGGCCTCTTTTAGCACTAAAGATGAAAAATAAAGGATTACAGTTCAAAACACCGCCCATGTGTGTCAGACAACAGGAAAGGTTTATATTTGAATGAAGGAAGTCTGCCTTCTGAGAGAGAAGATGATTTACTTGAAGTATTCAGTGAAGTAAGACCTGAGCATTTTTTTTGGTAAAATGGAACTGCAGGCAAACTATTTTACAGTATTTTTCTTCTTGTGCTCTTTACTATTAACAGTGGCAGAAGTGCAGTACTTGATACAAGACTACTGCAGGGCAGCAGTGTTTACCACTGGAGACCAGGTCCTGAAAAAGGTAAGCAGATGGTGATCAGTAGATTAATCAGATCTGCTGGAGTAACCCTGGCTGATGAGAAACCAGTGCTCAGTCTGTGAAGTTGAAAAGTTATACACTGTTACCCCACAAGTGGAAAATAAACAAACACACAGCCCAAGGTCAGTTCTAACAGACCACAGAAGCAGAGATGTTGCTTGTTCTGCAATCAAGACACCATGTCTTACTACTTTAACTTAAGGTTCTGTTGAATTCTTGGCTGTAACAGTTGACTTGTCACTAAACTAATTAATGACTTTTGCACAAATTCTTCCCTAGATGAGTGCTTATTTTGGTGTTAAAAAATCTGAACAGAACAAAGCTCAGTTTTCCTGTTTTGGTTGAAAGCCCCTAATAATTACATAAGACATCCCATCATTCATGCTTATATATATGTATGTATGTACGTATGTATGTATGTATGTATGTACGTATGCATATATATAAAATTAGTATTTTCTGATAGAGATGAGATAAATGTCTCCATTAAATAAAAATATATTACAGTGAAAGAATGTATAGGCAAAACCACTCAAGAGTTCAGGAACACTGAACCTGCACTGAGTGCACATGAAATAGTAACTTGATGCTCTACATGTGCCCAACTACAATACCACTGTCTTCTCGCCTGGTTAACCACAACCTGGAAAGTCCTTTTTTGGTTACATTTAACAGAATCTTCATATTTAATTGCCTATTTGCTGTTTTACAGTACTCTGCACACCTAAAGATTTGGCTAATCTTATCTTCCAGTTATTATTTCACTTTATAATTCAAATTTCTATAATAAAGTTTTAGGATAATAGGAATACTTCATCTGACACCACTTGATTTAGCTGATGTGATTTTTCAAAGTAAGGACAAGAGCAAAATGTGCATAAAGAAGTTAAAAGGTTATACAGAGTTTAGAAAGAAGCCAGCAAAACTTGCAAACATATATTTTAGCACCATAGGCAAAAGAATATTTTGATGTCAAGACAGTTAGGACACAGGAACAATAAGCAGTCAAGGATAGAGCAAGATTCCAGTGTGACACAGTTTATCGTCTTGGTGACACGAAGAGTGCATGGAGAGTATGCTTTTTGTTAAAAAAACTAAAAGAAAACCAACAAAACATGAAGAGAACCATGACTGCTGAAAATCTGGAAGTGCCTGTGTATTGGAAGTTTCGTGTCTCACTAATCTATCCATAATAAAGATGCCAGCATAATTTTTCTAATTAGATATTAATTCTAAACATTTACTCAGTTTCAATAAATGAAAAACAGTAAGTAAAAATCAGCTAACTTACATACATATACAATTACTCCTAATAACTCAGGCAGCTAAATAGAAAATTTAAACTTTATATGACAAAGCATAATTTCACTAGGCAGCACAAAGTAATCTGCCAAAAGAATAGGCCTTTGCTGAGAAGAGATAGGCAAACTCTATATGGTGCATAAGAATGTGTTGGTGAAGAGTTCAGTTTTTGTTTGTAATTACTGCAGTTTTGAAAGGCACATAAAAACATTGCAAATTTACAGGCATGCATTTAACTTCCTTTGTTCATGATTCTTAAAAACCACATCTGGTGCATAAGAGCATAAGAGTTGCACCTACTACAGCTTCTGACTGCCAGCCCCACTTCTTGCCCACATTTCATGCAATGCACACAACTAAGGACATGACATACGTAGCAAACAGTGAACGATCATCAGAGCATGGCATCATGGAAGCAGTTTGGGGCCATATTTTCTAAGAGCTCAGGTTCCTGAAAACCTCCTTAGCTTTTCCCCCTTCTGCTTGCTCCAGGAATTTGTCTATTTAAACACCTCAATCACAGACCCATTCCCAGAAGGAAAAGACGGGCTCTGCAGCATGCCTGAGAATACCTCACCAGTGCATAACATTGTACAGGAATGCTGTGACTCACTGAGTGTTTTCTGAAGGGAAATTGGAGTAGCTACACCTTAATTCAATCAGTATGCAGGAATTATCTGCAGGCAGTGCTTCCAAGTCAGCATTAGACAGGCATAATGTTGCTGCTTCTCAGAAAAGCATCACAGAAACAGATGTGCATTGCAAAAGGCCACCTTACCCACTTCCATCCAGTTATTGCAGCACAAAGTGTATTTGTCTTGTAGGGAACAGATCACTGTCTCCATTGCACTACCTTTACTCTGCTTGGATTTACTTCTTTATATAATGAAATACAGAAATGCTATAAAAACACTGAAAGGGACCTGTTCCAATGTTCTGTATGAAAAAAATGTCTGCCTGAAAAGCTTGTAGTCCTTAGCAAACTAGTAATGTTGAATCATAAAACAGATGGTGCTTAAAAAGAGCTATACAATTAGCAAACTTCAGCTCCAATTCATGTGATTGTGGCATTAAGGATCCAACCCACATGATTATAGAACAAAAGCAATCACACGGCTTAGAACTTCTCAGCTCCTCACAAACTCAAGCTTTCCATTTGCAAGGTCATATTATACAGCTGTATCAAGATGCATTAGGGCAAGCAGTTCATTTGGAAATCTGGAGCGAGGTTTTGGAAAGGGTTTTTGGCAGTGTGCCTCACTGTGCACCTCAGGCACACAGCTGCTCCTCAAAATTTCCATGTCCCAAAGAACTTTATTCATTACTCAGCAGTGTTTTAGAGCTCTCTGAAATAGGAAGCCCATGTCAATCACACTGAAGTACTTATACCATCCAGGGGATGATGTTTCTGTATTTTAAAGATATTTACTTAAAAGCAAAAGGCATCCTACTGTATTTTGTTTCACCTGGAAGAAAATACTTCACTTAAGGAAGACAAGAAGTGTTCAGAAGGTAAACTGTACATTCAATAAATCTTGAGCATACTCACATGGGGAGTCATCCACAAACATGGGGTCTATGTTATGCAGCAGTTCCACTCTGGGAGAAGGTCTTCCTTCACTAAGAGAGATTTCAAAAGGAAATGTAAATTACCTTAGCTCATTATGATTCTGCATCTTTTATTTTAAGACTTTTTGTCATCTTAATAGAGAGTGAGCTCATAACTTTAAATTAATTACTATCAACTTTAATTGGAATGCTCCTTTCTGGCTGAGAAGAAACAACTTTTGCCTCTACAAGTTTTCCCTAACTTTACTGGTGTTTATTTAGATTATTCATAAGTTTACAGAGTATAGAATTGGCCCTACCTAAGCAGAGTTTTACAACAATCAATTTTAAGAGTCAAATTTCACAGCATAAGCTGATATAACTCTTGCTCTGCTCTCTACATACCTGAACAAGGGCTGGGAGCGTTACGGCTGGATGCCTCAAAAAACACCACAGGCATTGCTATCCCACAAAAAAAAACCAATGTTGATTTCTAATTGAAGTCACAAGGATTATTTAGATTTACTAAGAATCTTGTTGTGTAAAAAAAGAAAATAATCTCTCTTTTTCTAGCCATTCAGCACATAGAGATGGAGGGGAATGAGCCTCTGAACTTATCCATAAATTTTCTTAGCTAAGTAAATCCCAGACCTAAAAAACTAAGGGAATGAAATTTACTCTTTATAAAGGGCAACGTGAGTAGGAAGACATAATTAGAAAGAACCTTGGCTGCATGAAGACACAAGAATTTATTATTTAACAGTGACCCTAAATACATCCTTTCAGAAATTTCCAGATAATTCAAATTGTTTTTTCTTTCATTAAGGAGCTTAAGTTAAGATACAAAAATTCAACCAGGTTCCCTAAGCTTTTTGACATTAAGAATATAAATCTCAGTGGAGACAGAAAAAAATACAGTTATTGTAATATATTAAATATAATACCATTAAACTATTTACTTGTAATTCAAAATTTTCAGAAACAAACAATTAAAATAATATTTTTCTATTACTTTTCTAAAACCATTTCTGGTTTATTTACTCAAAATTCTATATTTTGAGTGAGTCCAAAACTAACAAGAAGAACTAAAAGATTAAATGTGTTCAGGGAATATAGTATTGTATTTAATACAGAGGAATTACATTAATTAAGCTACAGTGTTAGTAATTCAATGTATAGAAAATGTTTTTCCCAAAATGTGGGTGAAAGGTTAATTGCCACCCCACCTCCATTGTCTATAGTAGCCACATTCTTAATTAAAGAATGTTAGGCCTTATTTAAACAAATTTTATCTTAAATTTAATAAACTCTGTCTCTATGTGCTCCATTGACAGCTGTGTTCAAGTGTGCCTTTCACCATCTCTTCATAGGTAACAGAACCATTTAGCAAAAGTCAAACTAGGATTCAAATTTATAGCCTGTGATTGACTCTGCAATAACTGCCTGGGACGATTTTATTTAAATTTCTGTGCTGAATCTACATTTTTCAGAATATTTTAAAACAAAGAAACCACCAGAGATATGCTAAGTAGTCCAGTATCTTCCACCATAGTCAAATACAGAAGAATTAAGTAATCTATTCGTATTTACTTCTCATCTTTATAGATTCAATATTCATACATTGCTACTCAGTACTCACACAGGGCTGAGGGACCAGCAGGGCCAGGGAGGGGATTCTGCCCCTCTGCTCTGCTCTGCTGAGAGCCCACCTGCAGGGCTGCATCAGCTCTGGGGTCCCTGCACAGGAAGGACATGAACCTGCTAGAATGAGCCTAGAGGAGGACACCAAGATGATCACAGGACTGGAGCACCTCTCTTTCTGGACAGGCTGTTTTGGTTTGTTCAGTCTGGAGAAGAAAAGGATCTGGGCAGCCCTCATAGCAACCTTTCAGTACTTAATGGGGGCCTTCAAGAAAGACAGGGACAGACTTTTTAGTAGGGCCTGTTGTGGCAGGACAAGCAGTGACAGTTTTACACTGATGGACACTTGATTTAGATTGGATATTAAGAAAGAAATTTTATGATGAGGGTGGTGAAACACTAGTAAAGGTTGCCCAGAGAGATAGTAGACAATCCATCCCTGGAAACATTCAAGGTCAAGTGAACAGGGCTTAGAGCAACCTGATCTAGTTGAAGATGTCCCTGTCTAAGGCACAGAGGTTGGCCTAGATGACCTTTAAAGGTCCCTTTCAACCAGCCTATTCTAGGATTCCACGTGAGTCTATGACTATACCGTGTATACCAAGTGTATTCATAGTGTTCACGCAGACTGAGGTAAGTCGCTTTACAAATTTTAACATGGACAGTGGATATTATATACTAAACATGGCTATTTGCATTACAGCTGATAGAACACAAAAAATAAAGTTTATACTTCCATTAATGTAATGCAGAAGTTGCCATTATTATTGAATCCATTTTTGTTCTGGGATAGAACAACATTGTTACTACCTTGGATGCGATTTACATGTAATCATGAGATATGTTCCCTGATCCCTACGGCATCACTGCATTAAGCTCCATAGAGCTATTACATGCTACAACACTGTTTTTCAATTTGAGTGTTAGTCCAGCAATTCTTGTTGTACAGAGCATGGATGCTCATAACCAGCATATATCATAAAACAATAGCCAAATAATTTGGCATTGTATGTTGAAAAAATCACCTACCTCATAGCAAAAGACATGAGGAAAACAGAAACAACATTCTGACAACAACAGATAAGAAATTTATGCCTGTAACAGAGATCCATTTCCCTGGAAGTGCCTTAACTCTTCCCTCCTTCCCATTTACAAAACTTCACAGAGTTCAACTGTGATTCACCTTGTAGTTCAACTTCAGATTGGCAGATGTTCTGCAAGGGTGTTTTGCATCAGGAATATAGCCTAGCCAGGAGAGCTACAATAACAAAGCAGTAATATTCTCTAGGGAAACCTCCCTTTGTATTTTAGCAACTGCCTGTGCAGCCATATCTTACAACGCTCTAATTTTAGAATATTTATTTTTAGACTTCAATGTCCTAATACGTCATTCCTCCTCCTAAATATAAGAAACTTTTTATATTGTCTGCTTATTATTCTACCCTGTCGGATGGCAGAATAATTAAGATATGTCTTAGTTATTTAATTAAGCAGTTAAAAGCTGCTGTTTTTAGAAACAGTTCTCTGTGTAAGAACAGCTTAATGAAAGCATGTGGCCTAACTTCAGAGTTGGTATGAGAATCAGCTAGTTCGTTCTTCTGATTTGCAAAGTTCTTAAAACATACGGAAAGCCCTATCATTCCTTAGTGAGCACAAACAAAGATCTACATACAATCTTCCCCTTTTGTTGTTGTTAAACAGCCAGAAGGTGTCCTTGGAAAGGAATCCAAGGTTTTTCAGTGTATGTTTGTCTTGCACAAAAACATTCTCAGCATAACTGAGCAAAATCTGAGCCTTTATAACCTTGTCATATTTCTCTGTGTCTTATTTTCAATGTTTTCCTAAAATGATTGCATTTCAGACATGCTGGAAATAAACACACTCTCAGCTTTAGACTGCTCTTTCTTCTGTGTTAATTTATATCACAACCATGAAATGTTTTTTAAACAGGTGCTTGATTTCTAAAACAAATGTCCATTCGTTACAGAAGAATTCAAGTTGATCTTACTTCATTTGCTACACCTAATCAGTTATGATTTTTCAAGATCATAAAAATATAAAAATGAAACTTGCCCTACAAAATATATAAGTAAAACTCTAAACTCTCTGCTTAATAATAAGCTTTGACAAAATAATAGTTATTTGTACTGTACTTTACCCTGAATCTCAGAGCCCATCATACTGCTTCACATGGTCTACCATTACATTCTTCTGTTAATGCAAAATAAAATACATTCTCTGAGCACAGACACTAGATATTCTGTGCTGAAAATCAAGATGTATCAAAAAAAATGTATCAACCAAAGAAAAATCATTTTTCCAAGTGTCTTTATTTCAATAGAGTAGTAAGCATCTGGAGAACAGATGTTTCTTAAAAATGCCTCTTGCGATACTTGCTTGGAAATATGCAGTACAATTTAGACTCCATGACTGGTTGCATTTTATTTTTGTTCTTGCTATTCTCAACTATTTTTGTAAAATATATCAGTGATATTATCACCGTATTTTCAGAAATAATTTTTAATATGTACATTTTTTTTGAACTATGTTATAGTCTTATACATAATAATTTAAGGCAAGAGAAAAGGGAAATCTACTATGATTTATTATTTATTTATGAACCTTTATAAATGTTGATACCTGAGACTGGAAACATCTGATAGTTATCAAAAAATGGGTTGACACAGTGATACTATGCTGTTGTTTTCAAAAAGAAGCTAAAGACATCAAAGAGGAAGTTAAATTTCATTCCAAAGTTACTCAGAGTAAAATTAAAATTATGTAGTGCTGGTTTACTTGTATGCAGCAACATAATATTGCACATAAAAACAGTCCAAGATTGGTATGGATGGAGAAAGACTGCTAAAATCTGCATGTGAAGATGTCATGAGCACAAAAGCAGGGAAAAGGCTCTTGTAACAGCCAACTAATCCAGACTAGCATGTCAGAAAAGCCCCAGGACATTGAGGTAAATTCCACAGGACAGGGACATCTGGAGACAAAACAGGATGGCCCTTGGTGACTCACAGAGCTGATGCAGGACACAGATGCAGCATCAAAAGGTCACAAACAGGCACAACTAGAACCTGCACACCTAAGTTACCAACCTAAGAAGAACACAGAAGAAGCTTGAAGGACTTCACACCGGGCATCCCTGGACCTCTGCACCACAGCAACAGATGCTGGGCCCATTATGTGCTTACACACATCATGCTGTGAGGATGCCAGGTGGATGGCTTGAAATCTGTCATCCTGGGCAGACTTCCTGGACACACACACCTCCTGGTGAGTAAGACTGCCAGAGTCTGAGTAAGCTATAAGAGTGTGAGCAAAACCTGCTCTATTTCAGTTTCCATTTAAAATAAAATCACATTCCTCTTGTGTTAAGTCTTTCATTGATACAGTGTTGAAACACTAATGGGTCAGCAGATGGATTTGGAAAGAGCAGACAAGCTTTTGAGTTTAAATCCCTGCCAAGCTTTTAAGTACCATGCAAAATTTTGCCTAAGAGTTCAAACAGTGAGAACACACTGTGCTTCCTCATTTTCATGCATTGCATGAGTGAAACTTAAAGTATAACTAACCAAAATGAATGAAAGAAAGAAGGCATTTTTGTCTGCAAGATGCTCCTGAATATCATCTTTTCCTGCTATTTTCTGCTATTGCCTCCTAACTGTTAAATGTCTTCTGGTTCTTCAAGCCAGAATTAAGTAGACAAGGTATGAAAGGAACACTTGGCTATATATGTGACTCTCAGTACTTCTTTGTACTACAAGAACTTAATATTAATTGGTGTCATTTTAATGTGAATCATAATTTGGACTATAAGTCATTTAAAGTAATGACAGAATGTTCATTTTGGTTTAGAATTTATGGAATTTAAATGCTGGAACCCCGCATTTAAAAATTTATGTTGAATTTCTGTGTGTTGTATATATATATTCATATTTCTACAGTATATTACATTTATACATAGTTATTTTCAGTATTATATTATTTATTATAAATTATTGTATTAAATTATTATAGTTTATATTATTACATACATATCATATTAAGATCCAATCTTTTAAATACTGATCATTAATAGACAGGTATCACTGACATAGATTCAATATTTTTTTGACTTCTGAGAGTATCTGCACCATCCCATATATTCTTTTGAATATCTAAATCAAGGTTCCAAATTTATGATCTTTTTCCTTTTGATTACACACATATGAACTGGCAGGCTCAGGAGTAACATGTCCCCCCCAAAACAAAAAAAATCACAAGGAGCTTATGCATCTATTTACATCAGACTGTACTGGAAGAAAAATAGATGCAACACAGTAATTAATTTTTATTTTTTTTAAATGAATTAGAGTTATAATTTCACTCACTATGAGCCATTTGGTCCCAGAAAAACAATAGATTTGAACTTTTCATCAGATAGCACTAAAAGGGCACTATGCCTTCATTGTTTGCTATCCAATATTCAAGTGACCTTTTGAATTATGTTCATGAAATTTAATACACTCATTTATCCTGATTACATGGGAAAATCATGTGAAATTTGACATTTTGGCTGCAAGGTCAACCAAGGAATAGCCTAACAGTTAGAAAACCTGACTTACTACCTGTCCAGACTAAGGCCCTCTCTTTGACACTCCCAACAACACTGCTAGTCACCTGTTCCCTGGCAGTCCCAGTAAACATTGCACTCCTTCCCTTTACAAAGACAGAAATGCAAATGTCAGCAGTGTGCTGGCACAGCTGTACCTATCCTTCCCAACAGCTCTCCTGCCGAAGTAACCGGATCGGAGAAGATCAATCCATTACAAAAACACATGGTTGAAACTGAACCTGAAGTAGGCTGGAATTGTAATGGTAGCTGGAAGAGAAGTCTATGGTTTAGGTGCACGCAGGATCCTGCCGATGCTAAGTTTCCCCACAGGAACACTGACAAGTACAACATTTTACTTTTTCTGGCTGGATGGGAGTCTCCATTCCTTCCTGGCAGTTAACGATCCCTGGCCTCAATTGCACATATCGTTATCTTCTTCCACTTGGAAGAGAGCCATACAGTACACGTGGGCACAAGGCCATAAGCTTCCTGCAAACTCCAGCTACTACAGAAAACACTCCTTAGCTCTTCAGAAACACAGGCAGCACTACGAATGAAACCAAGCTTACCAGCTTCAAACAGGTAATGCTACAGGTATAGACAAAACAATTCGGAACTCAAGATATAGGGTTTAATTCCAGGGAGGTGTAGCAGGTTGGGTTTGGTTTTGCTTTTTGTTTTTCACTCCAAGATCCATACAGATGGATCCATGGAGGGGTATATGGGTTAGCATTTACCTACTCTAACTCTCTATTTGTCATCTCAGTCCCTAACTCAGGCAGCTCATGCTTGTATAGGAATTGCTTTTAACTCCTGCAATTCACAGTCTAGGATACACACAAAAAAAGGAAGGGGACAAAGGGTGAAAACAGAGATAATATGGTATAGTCTACCTGCTGTAAATACAGGACAAAGGCTACCAAAAGAAACAGAACACTACTCCTCAACTGAATAGCATGTAGGAAGTAGAATTGTTAGTCCTTTTATTCTGCTTTGGCAGTATTAAACTTTCCATCCTAAATTATTCTTATGTGAATTAAAAATATATTCAAAGAACTACTAAAATATATATAACTTCTTCGAGTGCAGACAACTGCATTTAGCCATATCAATGAATACATTACACACAGCACATAAAAGGAAGAAACATAGGAATTTAAACCAACACAATTTTTGAAAAACCAAAGGTTGGTCACAGAACTTTCAAATTCTGCAGAAACGTAGGTTTTAAGGACTTTGTAATCTTTTTTAGTGGAATAAACAAACATTGAAATAACCCAGCTGGAGCTATGCTGCCTCTTTTTCCCAGTCATCTAAACATGCCTGCATTGTGCTTTTAAGTATTTCAGCTTGCTTGAATCAGTCACAACATCATGACCTTCAGGAACCAGGTCAGGTGTACTTTTGTACTCGATCTCAATGGCTTTTTGGGACACTGGACAGCATGACAGGGGTCTGTGCAAGTGGTTACACTGTAAGCCAGCCCAACGAGTCCTGCACCGAGCTAACAAACCATCAAAGTGGAATCCATATTTAGTGAGTTTAATGTCTGCACAGATTTCCCACATGTCCAATTCCAGATGCATATGGCAGAGACACCTGACTGAGCTCTGTAGAGAACAGGGTTTGGTTCATAAAATTTAAAACTTATACTCCATGCTGTGCAAACTCAGTTAACATACTTCGGGATCACATAATGCTCTTGAAGAAGTATACCATATTTGTGAGCTGTAGTGTTCATACTGAAAAATTCAAAATACCAGGTTAAAGCTGTATGGAAGCTTTGCATCTGTAAGCAGGATTAATTTGCAGCCTGAATAATTCTCTCATAGACAGCACAATTAAATGCATTTATACTTTCCCTTTTTTATGGGAAAGGAACAGGTAATATTTCCCTCCCCACTTCAGTTTTGTTTTCTGGGCTGATTAAATTCTTCTCATACCAGAATGATGTCTTGGTGATTTCACATGAAAGTTACCTGATAGTGTTCCAAACATCAAAGCCATCCAAGGGCTTAGTGCCATTGGTATGTCCTCCAGCAAGGTGCACCAGCGTTGGCAGCCAGTCAGAGATATGGATGAGTTCATGACTTTCTACACCTGTTTGTTTCAACAAAGGACTTGCAACAAAGCCTACACCTCTCACTCCTCCTTCCCAGAGGGTCCATTTCCTCCCTCTCAGTGGCCAGTTATTCCCCCCTGCTAAAGTTTGTCCTCCATTATCTGAAAAACAAAGAAACAAAAAGAATCCTTGGTAAGAAATAAGCAGAACAATCCTCCCCACAACACCTATTAATCCATTTGAAAAAATATTCCACAACACTGGTGTGTCATGCGAGTATTTGCATATTGCTCTTAGATAATGTCAAACATTCAGGGCCCAGTAACAAACATATGTTACATCTTAACACCTACAAATTACACAAATGAAAAGTTACCACTAGGCAGAAATTATACCATACTAAAAGACAGTAATTTAGAAAGACTGTGTTAAGAACTGCTTCTGACCATGATTCAAAACATCATTAGGTATCCAAAGCTTACAGAACCAAAGACTTCAAAAATTTAGTTTCAATTGATTAAAAATCACAAGAAGAATTGCTCTCAATCGGAATACACTGGTTTCCAAAGCAGTATAATACACTTGAAATGGAAGTGTATTTTAAAATGGAAACCTGTTATTCCAGTCTCAAGACAATACTTGCACACCGAGTTTTAAAAGCAAGGTTTTTTCCAGATTTTTAGGCAGCCATACTGATATATAAGGTTAGACAAAGGGTCTAACCTTAGGTTAGAAGAGTTTTCTTCTCCTCAGATAGAACAAGACAGCTCTAATAAAACTAATTTAACCTAGTTAACATAACTGATGTGATCCAGATATTTAATTTTTTGTTTGGTGAGAATAACCAATATGATGGTTACAGAAAATCTGAATCACCACAGAAGTATCTATGTGAATTAGAGATGGTTCATGGAATGCTTTTCTTTCTAACTCTCCCTGACCAAGCTTCCACACTTAGAATAAAATCCAGATCCTTGAAGTTAACAATAACGATTCTTTGCATTTATTTTCAGTATTGTTATATAGTTGTTTTTGTTCAAACCTACTGTAATGGTCTCAGAAGAGTCATCACTAGAAATTCTGTTAAGCATAATTTTCCTATTTTAATGAGGTCAAAATTATTTCAAATAATAAACTGATTTGATTTGCTGAACTGATATTCAGTGTAATTTGACAGGTTTGTATTGCATTTTCTGATTAAAAAACACGAATTTGAGATCAAAACAACAAGTCCAACACCTTATAGAAGAACTTCCCTGCAACCAGAAGAAAATTATCTTTCTGGCTGAGAAGAGTTCAAGAAGCATTTGGACATATCCTTGGGCACATGGTGTGATCCTGGGGGATGGTCCTGTGCAGAGCCAGGAGTTGAACTCAATGGTCCCTGTGGGTCCCTTCCAAGTCCTTTTCAACTCAGCTTATTCTGTGATTCTGTGTTTAATTAGGGATCAATGTAAACCCTCACATCTTTCTACTGCACACAGGAGACCACTTCTGATCTACAAAGGAATAAACCACGGATATCTGTGAAGACTTTGGAAGGTAGAAGCCTAAGCTAAATAAAGCACTTGGCAAAAATAGAATTATTTCAAAAGAGTTAACTGTCCTGTGGCCCAGCTAGCTTCCTGTTGGGTTGCCCATGTCCCTGCATTTTTTATTAAAAAGAAATTAATCAAGAATGCTACCATTATTTCTCAGACAAAGATGTTAAGCTCTGAGATCTGAGAACATAAAGCAGTTTCTGATTACAACAGAAATAAAAAAAATGTGAAACCACGACAATCAGTTTCAACAATTCCTTCTACTCATAATGTAAACAGGAATTCCTGTCAGAGATACTCATGGGACACAGTTTTCAGTAGTTTTTAACCTTTGGTGGCCTTAGAATAAAAGGCATCTTATCCACACTGTATTAGAGCACATTTTGGACATACAGAGGAATCAGAATTTAAATATGTTACATAACACCTTTGTATAACAGACTGCTCACTGTCCATATCAGTTTAATAGCAGCACATGAGGGTTTTTCTAATTCCTGATTATCAGCTACAAAGTAGCAAGGAAATTATTGAAGTAGCTGGTATTTCTGTAGAATAGTGAGAGAGAAATGTGCACTTCTCAGGTTACAGTCAGATCTTTGATACTTCTTTTTCCTTGCTTTCTGTAAAAACATTCCCATTCTTCCAGTCTCACTACACACTAACTTCTCTGATACAAGGAATCTATCTAACATACTGATAATATATATTATAAAAAAACTTGTATCAGCATTCATTCATAGTACACCTAGTTTAAAAGAAAGGGGGAAAAAATCATGTTTTGATAGCTGATCTGATATGCAAATGAAAAAAATCTGACATATGAAACCAGGCTCATTCCCCTCATTTGTCTTCTCATTGTCACATTTCTAGAACATTACTTTTTCCTTCCTCAGGAATTTATGTTCAAGTGGTCCTTCCTGCATAATTTCTTGACTGAGTTATCAATTAAGTGTTAAAGGAGGGAAAAAGGATGGTTTCTGTTTTAATCATTAAGGTTTGTTTCCTTTCTAGGTAGGTAGAATGTAAGTGATGTGTCACTAGCAGCTTGTATGTAAGCAACACCTTCCACACAGTCATAAATGTTACACTTAGAATTTGTTAAAAAAGAGTTGGTTACATAAGAATGAAAAACCCTAATGGGAGCTGTACCAATAAAATATTAAATTAGCCACTAAATAATAAAGGGAGAGAAGGAATAAACAAGAAGTCACTGATTGAACATGGAATATGGACCTGAGAGAAAGTCCACTCAAGACTGCCACTGCTGCTTTGGTCCTGGTTTTACCTCCAGGAATATGTCTGAATAGCAAGAGACAAGATGGGGACTGGTGGTGTATGTGTGTGTTCAGGTACATTCCCTCTAAATTGAGAGCTGTGGATGTATATATTTATGCTAAAAGCTTGCACAGATTCAGAAAGCCACTGAAGAAGTTAAAGTTGAAAAAAAATACATAATTCCTATATGAAAACACATCACCTCAGTCACAAGAGGTGACTTTTCTTCAGCCACAACTGCTGAAGATTTGCAGATTTTCACAAAAGTTTCCTAGAAATATGCCTCCAAGAATTGCCACAGTGAGGGGATGCATGGCTAGACAGATCCTTCATCTGTGAAAGCACAACCATTCTCATTTTCTCCCAAATTAGTTTTCCTTACTAACTCCTTATGCTATTTTTCCCCAAGTATCTCAAATATGGAAAAAATTCCAAAGTCCATGTGGAAACTCACAGTAGTTTAAAACACACACTTAAAATCCACTTAGGTGTGAGACAAGTGGAATCATTGTTCCTTCATGTTCTATACTGGCTTCACATCCAATTCTAAATCCATTTCAAAACAATATCTTCAGAACTATCCATCATACATTTTTGTAACTGTTTCTCTCCATGACTTATCCTATCTTATGTCAGAAGACAGTTTCCAGAGCAAAGCTTTTGGAATCAAGCTACCTTCACCTCATGGCCCTGATTTGTAAAACTGCTTGGTATTAAAATTTCAGCCTTGCTACTTCAGGTGAAAATACAAGCCTCCTCCAGGCATGATATTTCATTACCTCTTTGCTGGAGACAAACATCAAATATGTTTTCCATTAAAAACACTGAAATAGTGTGGAAAATGTAGAGGGCGTATGTTTCTTATCGGTAAGAATAATTTTTGCAATTACATCTACATAATTTAGACTACAGCAGTACCCACAACATATTAGGGGTATTAAAAAATCATAAAACTAAGCAGCTCTTGTCCCCAAAGAAAGGACAAAAGAGGATAGAATAAGACTGCATCTAGAAATTATGCCACTTGGCATAAGCATTATCTAGCCAATTCATGAAGCTTTGTTTGCTTTTTTGAATGAAAGCATCACACAGTTTTAAAGAGCTTTATTCCTTGCTTGGCTTGGCTTGCTCTGAGAGATGTTTAGCTACCATTATTTCTCACTGCATTAATCACTTTTATTAGGTATTATTTTAAGGAGGGGGGTGAAATCTGTGGCAACAAAGGAAAATACAGGGAAGAGACAGTCTCACTAATTAAAGAATCACCTGAAACAGAATTTGTAGCAAGTGCCACCATCAAAAATGAAAAAATGCACAGCACATATATGCTGGATAAATGACAAAACAAGAGAATAAAGGAGAGCAATGGAAGTATCCTGGCTACTTTAAAAGGTAGTTTTCATCAAAGCTGAATCAACACAAGCCTTGATGGGAACAAGTTGAAACAACAAAAATATGTTGCAAAGTACCTCCATTCCAGAACAATTTGGGTGAAAATAGGACATATTTTCAAAAGTAAGTCACAGAAAATCAAAGAATATAACCTATTCTTAAAATGCAGGTGATTGTCTTTCACACTACTGTGGTTCTTTTATTAAAAATAAAGAAGAGAAAGGGCTATTTAAAAAAATATACTTAATAAAAACCTTTCAACATAAGAAGAACAAATGCAAATTAAAGCTTGTGTGTCTTGAATGTACAATTACAACTTCAAAAATGAAGGCAAATGTTCTTCTCACAAACATCTGCTTTTTTAATTAATATTCATTGTCATATACATGAAAAAGTTTAATTTGCTAAATTTGTAATTTCTAAACTGTAAGAGATGCTTTGTGGGAGTTTTTAAGGGAATCAATAAACAAAACTAAACAGAGAGGCCCTTCTGTTTCTCCCAAATACTTCTCTAAAGAGTTGCCAGCTGCCAAACACTTTGACTAGTGCAGGACATATATACACTGATGTGGGTTGTATGTAACTAGTGAGCAGTTTAAGACTTCTTTAAAGTCTTAAAGAGATGGACAATAAAAAATAGCAATAAAACAATTCTGAGAGCAATAATTAATGAAGCATGGATTCAAGTCTTTGGATGGACTTATTTTCTTACAAAATTACCCTGGAACTGAAGCAACAGTCTGCTTTGCACTGTGAAGATAACCATTGGAAATAGATGCTCAAAACTGTGGGGAGAGCTTCATTTGGGATTTGTACCTCACTAGACAGTAGCAAACAAAAAAAAGTAGAAGTGTTGATTTAAGAACAAACTCTGACAAAAGATCATAAATATCTCTTGCCTGCATCCATCCATTGCCAAGAAAAATCCACAGTAGTTACTGAACTCGGAAGCA